TTCGGGGCTCAGACACAGTCTCAGTGTTTAAGTCTAGGCTGAAAACATATTTGTTTAGTCAAGCCTTTTGTGAATAGTTTTTTCTTAGGTACAGGGGCAGGTCTGGAGGGTTCACAGGCATAGAGTGTTGTGGTGAACTGGGATGTTTGGATGCTGTCGCCCCCCCACTCTCACACGTTCACTCAGGTTTGTTGACGGTGGAGAAGCTGGCTGCTTTATGTCCCAGGACTCCCTCATGTCTGTGTTAGCTTCTGGCTCTCCCTTTTAGTTATGCTGTCATAGCTAGTCTTGCCGGAGTCCCTGCTTGCACTCTGCACACATTTATCTCATTTATACAACTGAGTAGTTGAGGGTTAAGGGCCTTGCTGGGGTTTGAACACTTGCTCATCTGGCCTTGATGGGGTTTGAACACATGACCTTCCGATCAGTAGCCCAACGTCTTAACCACTGAGATACCATTGCCCTATGTAAATACTCCATGCAAAGTACATTGTCCTTAATCTTTGTGGGACAATTAGCATACCTAATAATCTGTGTTTCTCTCGCTCTCTCTCTCTCTCTCTCGCTCTCTCTCTCTGTCGAGCTACACATGCTACTCCTGAGATGCCAGTGATCCTGACCCCTTCTGCTCTCCGGACCTGCCTGATCCATCTTGATGTCCTACTTCTGCTTGGAGTTCTCATCAATTGGAAATCACTTGCTGCTGCTGAGGATGACCTCCAACACAGACAGCCTGAAGATCACTGAGATTACTGAGAATGGTAGCACTTAGAAACCATGAAGATGGCTTTGAACTTCAATTGACATGAACAGTTTTGCACTCAAGTCTGTTTGTTGGTTTGTTAAACCTAACCACTGTCCACTGACGGAGACCTGAGAGCAAAACTGCTCGCGACACCCGCAGCCCCAAAGCCATCACAGTACAGCTCCCCATATGAGATCCCCAAGCCATCTTCACAGCCTCCAAGCAGCACCAGCAATCCCACTGAACTTCATGACATCCATGTGGGGCCACTCCCAGCAGCAACGAGCGATCTCAACTGATGAGAACTCCAACCAGAAGTAGGGCATCAGGAACCCATCTCCATCAGTGGACAGTTGATAACTTCAACAAAACAGACTTCATGTGAAAACTGTAATGAATTTCCTGGTTACACAACTGCACTATTTGTCCATGTAGTACACAGTTATAGAAGGGAATGATTTATAATCGCACTATCCGGTGACACCCAGATGAGGATGAGTTCCCTTTTGAGTCTGGTTCCTCTCAAGGTTTCTTCCTCATATCGTCTCAGGGAGTTTTTCCTCACCACCATCACCTCTGGCTTCCTCATTAGGGATAAATTTATACAGTTATAATTTATATCCTGAATGTACTTATTTCTGTAAAGCTGTTTTGTGACAATGTCAGTTGTTAAAAGCGCTATACAAATAAAATCGAATTCAATTTTTATTTCTTTATAAATATATTATTATTAGACCAAGCGAGAAGAGAAGAAATTTAATTCAGTAATAGTGCAATAATGATGAAATTGTAATTTTAATATAACTTATGATGATACTGATTGTTTTTTCACTGACCTGCTGTTTTTGGAACGATGTCTGCGTTCAGCTGAAACACAAACACAAATTTACACCGATGTTAGAACAATACACACAAACACACAGATTATATACAAAATAAAAGTAAATCAATAAATAATAAATAAATCTGGATTAAATCTGAATAAATCAGGCTCAGAGACTGAATGTGACTTTTATAAACGTATAAACTGCACAAAATCCACCAATCCTTTGCTAAGTGAACGGAATAAAGTTTAAAATCGCTTCAGGTTTAATCAGACAGAGACGGAAGTCTGGGATGCAGGATGTGGTGTGGTGCAGGATGTGGTGCTACAGCGACCTGCTATCACTCAGAAGTAGGTTCGTTTAGCGACTAGGAAACTTAATTAACTTAAACGATTTCAGACAATGACACTAATTGATTATGACTAAACACAAACGATGATGGAATTAAGGTTAATTCGCTGAGTTTGTCCTAGTTTTAGTGATAAAGTGTTGTTAAATCGCTTAAAAGTTAAATAAAATATACCAAAGTATTTACAGTTTTAAAAAAACAACACCACCACCACCAACAATAACACCAACACCACTACCACCAACAATAACACCAACACCACCACCACCAACAATAACACCAACACCACTACCAACAATACCAACAATAACACCAACAATACCAACAACACCACCACCAACAATAACACCAACAAAAACATTACCACCAACAATAACACCACCAACAATAACACCAACAAAAACACCAACACCAACAATAACACCAACAAAAACATTACCACCAACAATAACACCACCAACACCACCAATAACACCATCACCACCACCACCAACAATAACACAAACAAAAACACCAACACCAACAATAACACCACCAACAATAACACCACCAACAATAACACCACCAACAATAACACCAACAAAAACATTACCACCAACAATAACACCACCAACACCACCAATAACACCACCATCACCACCACCACCAACAAAAACACCAACAAAAACACCAACAAAAACACCAACACCACCAACAATAACACCAACAATAACATTACCACCAACACCACCACCACCAACAACAAAAACACCAACACCATCAACATCACCACCACCAACAAAAATACCACCACCATCAACACCACCAACAATAACAACACCACTAACAATAACAACACCACTAACAATAACAACACCACTAACAATAACAACAAAAAGGTGACACTGTAAATTAACACTTTATATTTATTGACTCTGTTATTAATTTTTATTGTTTAAATCACTGTTACATGTAGATTAGATTAATTATCAGGCTTTTATTATCTTATCGGGAAATTTATTTATTGTTGTCTAATTGTGAATCTTTTGTGTAAAACACTTGAAGTGAAGTGACGTGTGAAATCTTACAAATAAGACTGAATTAAAAAAAA